AGACATGTTACAGTGACCCATGTTTATAGCAGCGCAGTTCATAATAGCCACGTCTTAGAAACAGCCTGTATGTCCATGAACAGGTGGATGGATAAAGAAAATGCAGTATTCACACACGACAGAGTACTACTCTGCCGTAAAGATAAACTTGAGTCATTTGTAGGGAAATAGATGCACCTTGAGGCCATAAGGTTAAGTGAAATAGATCAGATACACAAACTTGATTGCCACATACTTTCTTCCATATGCAATGCCTAAAATCTTAAGATCTTTTTATTTTGATATTTATAAATAGGAAGTTCTGGAATCAAGAGACGGAGTAGAGGAGGAGGAAGGAGATGAAGAAAAAGAACAAAGATGTGTTATGCATATGGACCAGCTCCCAGCTCCCCACCAGGAATGTAAACATTATGGACAGCAAATATGACCTAATAAAAACTAAACTTAAAGAAGCAATGAAAAACACAACTCCAAAGCCCAGGCCAGAGCACAGCAACAACTCTAGAGGAACCACCTAGACATCAGCAGTTTTTACAGCTCCCCAGGCTGGGCCACTGTGCAGAGTCACGGGAAGTCCATTGTGCTGAAGGACAATCCCAGAACAACTGCAGGGAGCAGGCCTAAAGAACAAGCCGTGTGTGCAGAGCAGGAAGTAAGACGTGCTTCAGTGAGGGGACACGGAATTGAGAAGGATGAAAGGCATGAAATAGAAAACTGCATGGAAATTTGCATCAGAAGATATTTTGGAGAGCAGCCACAAAAGCTAAGACAGTCAAATGTTCAAAGGAAATAAAGAAAATGCAACGATTGAGCAAAATGCTTAAAAAGCTGAAAAAGATAGAAAATACAGATAAGTGAGCCATACAGAACCCTAAATAGCCACAATCAGAAAATAACCTCTTCATGACACATCACAGTCAAAGTCCCAGAAGTCCAACAGAATCTTAAAAGCTGTTCGAGAAAAGCAACAAATCACTTCTACAAGTAAACCCCATTAGACTTGCAGCAGACTTCTGAACACAAACATTAAAAATCAGGTGAGTGAAATGTTTCAGGCCCCAAAAGAAAACAACTTCCAACTCAAATACATCCTACAAAACTATGGGTCAAAATTGAGGAACAATTAAGGTTATTTCCATGACCAAGAGCACCTTAAAAAGTTCATGACCTCCATACTGACTGGTGGTGGAAAAAAAAAAAATTCATGACCACCAAACAGTATCACAAAAACAATCAAGTATCTCCTAGAAAGAACAAACACATGACATATAGATAAAAACTAAAACGACAGAACCACATCGAGCACGCAGAGTGGTGTGAGAGCATGTGCCTGGGAAGGTATGAGGAGATATACGGCAGCTTCCCTCAGACATTGACAAGTGTACAGCTCACTCCCAGATGTCAAAACACAGACTCTGACTCAGGAGGTCTGCTGTGGGCCTCAGATTCACCTGCATTTCTATAAAATCCTCATGGTGCCCATAGCCTGTGCTGTGGGCCAGAGAGAGAACTGAGAGACAAGAGGGGGCAGGCAGAGGGCACAAAGGTCATTGTCATTAAGTTAAGGGGGATATAGAAAACCACTAAATGATTCTGGACAGTGAAATGAATAGGATGCATGGGCGGGAGGGTCTGAAAAATGAACACAGCCTTCACGCAGAGCTGTCTCTATCCCCTTTCCCTTCCTTTTTAAAGTTATTTTATTTTGATACAAATTCTCATTAAGTTGCCCCATCTGGGTTCGAACTTGAGATCTCCTGCCTCAGCTTCCCAGAATGCTGAGATTAAAATTCTGCCACCATGCCCCACCAAGATGTAATTTTAAAAAACTTATTCTTTGTAGAACAAGAGAAGAAAGGAAACCTAGGACCGTAAACGACTTTGTATACATGATAATGGCTGAGGAAGGCATGACTTGCGCCCCACAGACTTCATTGATTCATGAACAAAGAATTCTGCAAATATTTTTTGTCTGAAGCTCTTGTAGCCTTTTTAGTTGATAAAAGTACAGAGTGGTTATTGAGTCCCCAATTGCCAATGACAGTCCATATTCAGATTTTTAAAATATAAGAAGAGATGTTTTTGTCCTCGGGAAAATTGCAATAGGTACTATAATCAAACTTAAAAAACAGAAAACTACATAAATTCTTCTAGTGCCTCATTCTCCACACAGATGAGAGACACAGATATTTCACATTCTACACCTTGACTACAGCTAAGGCAAACTGCAAGTGCTCTCTAAAAGAGGAGAAATGTTCTTCACAGAAGTGCAGTGTACATATTTGATTTTCCTAGAGCATTAGACATTGTTCTACAAAGCATTCTCTGAAGAATTCTATGCATATAGATTAGACAGAGCTAGACAAGAATAATGTGGGTAAAAAGTCAGGTAAGTACAATGAACACCAACAACCTATCAGTAGTTTGGTGTCAAAATGAGAGCAGCCATGGCATGCAGTGCCTAAGGAGCCATCTGAGGGCTGATCCTGCTCTGTTTTCTGTCGATAGTCTGAGGATCATGTGATGATGCACTAATCAATCGAAAGAAAATGCATTTCTGGAAGACACTGCAAACAGTCTGGATGACAATATTAAAATTCAGGATGATCTTCTTAAATTGAAGAAATGAGCCAAAATCAATACAGCAAGCCCACACAGTTCTGCCAGGTGTTTCAAATCATAGGAGTCACAGGGCTTCAGTCAGAAGTTAAGACTATCTTGGCAGGTAAAAACACACTGGTAAAACTATCCAACTCCTGTCTCCCACCTCTCCTCACAGCCACAGGGTACAAGATACGAGATGTTCAAGACTGGCACCTACACATACTGTAGCTTCACAGCCTAGAGCGTCTTGATGCTTCCCCTACAACCCTTCAGAGAGGAGATAAAGAGGTGAGCTTTCAGCTGATATGTCCTGTGGAGCCACACAGACACATTTGGACTTTGGAACACCACATCAGAAGCAAGGGGAAAAAGCTAAAGGTTTGTAGGTAGGAGTATAATGACCGTTTTTTTTCTCCTAAGGGTGTGTCGTACTGTCTTCCTGATATTTTAACACATGGTCCCTAACGAACATGGAGTAGGCTCGTGGGGATGATGAAAATCAAGTTTCTCTAACAACTTAGCATTTCCCTGCCCAAACTGTAGGAAAGCTAAGACTTTTTGCCCACCCTTTCTCTCAACTGCATCACTTTCCCAGGGTCATCTTTAATGATACATTCTTGGCCTCAACTAGTCAGTCAATAATCAAGCCCTACCCTCTGAATTTTCTAAGAGTTCCCTGACCCGCACGTTCATCTCCATCCTCTTACCTGTAGTCCTATTTAAAGTCTTCATTACTCCTCACCTACACTAGGCCAGAAGACTTACCAGCTTGTCTTGCTCTTTATCCCTTTAAATCTTGGTTATTAGTTATGATCCCATGAAAATAAAAATATGACCTTGAACCTTCCTTGGCTACTTTTCAGTACCTTTTGTACTCACAGAACAGGTCCAAGTTTCACAATGTGACTTGTAAATGTCTCCAGTGGTTTTTCCACCAGAAGTGCCACCAGCTTCCTGTTTGGATCACTTCTAGATGCCACAATGTTTGGGTAGTGCTCCTAGCATTTTGTGCGTATGGTGCCGGAATGCTAAGCATCCTGCAGTACCCAAAACAAACTGCCCAATAAGCTACCCCACTGTCCCAACTGTTAGTAGTACCTCTACTGAGAAAGGCTCCAAATGGTTCCTATCTACTTCTCCAGCCTTTTAGTTCACTTTTCCCCTGCAGCTATACGTCTTCTTCCCCAGCAAAGCCATGCTTTTTCTCCTTTATTTATTAATTCTTGCTTTTGAATTTTCATTGATTCTAACACCTGGAATAACTCTAATTACTGACTCATCTTTTAAGCTTTGGGTTGGGGTCAGCTCTACTAGGAAGTACACACACGTAGTCTGAGTTAGATGCATCTTCCTGATAAAGTAATAGTGCTTTCTATCTGTGAGATGCCTTGCACTCAGCGCTTTGCTTTCTAACTCTGGGCTTTCTCCCTCACTCTACTGAAGTTCTATAGCGCAAATATGGAATGCATCTACTATACCTGATAGGGTATGAAAAAAACCATGCAGTGAATTCTTAAACTTTTAAAATTTATTACAATAAAAGACACATTGCTATTAATCCCCCCAAACACTCTCACTTTAAAAACACTTAGGTCATTGTTCTTTTTTTTTTTTTTTTTTTTTTTGTCTTTTTCATTTTTATTGGTACCAGGGATCGAACTCATGACTGCCTGCTTGCAAGGCAGGCGCTTATGCCACTGAGCTAAATCCCCAGCCCCTATGTCACTGTTCTTATAACTCTCTGAAGTAGTTCTAGAAGTCCTCTTTCAGGAGTGTCTGCAGTTACACTATTTTGGCTGCCTTGATGTCCTGAATCTATTCAAATTATTTATCTTTTATGCTCATTTTGAATTGCAGAAAGAGCCAGATGTCACCTGGTATCAGATCAGTGAAGAAGGACACACCACAACATTTATTGGACAGAATTTCTGTAAATGTTCTGAATGAAATTAAGAATATCAAGGCAGTCATAAAATGACACTCACAAAAAAGGGCTTTTAAAACTGCTTAAGTGGCAAGAATGCCAGGGTAAGTATTAAAAACACAGAAGAGGACAATTTTAAGGGCAATTGATAGTAATGCATTTTGTATGATAATAGATATTTTAATAATTAATAAGCATTAATAATTTTTCTCCACACCTTGTGTTGACATAAGTATTTGAGAAAGCTGTAGATGGATATCATTGAAATCTAGGACTTTTTAGAAGATCATAATGGAGGTAACAATTACAAGCATTTTTTTTTTTTAGCTCAGAGAGACATGGGGTCAAAGTTTCTGACCCAGCCAGCTGCCCTTAGTTCCAGTGTTCTATGATACACCAGGCACTCTATCCTCATCGTCAGCCCCAAACACTCTTTGCAAAGCACCAGACAGCAGCCTGACGTTCCACTCACCCATGTTGATGACTGTGGGCCACGAGGAGCAAATTGACAGGCACTTCTGCGTGGCAGCGTTCTGTCCATTCTGCTCAAGAACTCGGCAGTTTTGCTACCAGAAGGACAGATAGGTGTTAGTGCTTCATAAAAACAGCAATACCGGTGTTTATTGTAGCTTTGGATACCAGCCTAGGCTTTTACTGAGTGATGACTAAAAGAGTTTCTAGGGAGAACAAAAGGTTAGAGTGAGCACAACGTGCAGCAGAAAATCAGAACAAGACCGCATACTTGAAGAACATTAGTTTGAAAATATAAAACTCAGTTTGTGAAATGAGTTACACTATTTTTTGCCACTGCGTTTTGACATGGAGATAAGTGCTCTCTCAGACTCCGCAGTACGGGGTCTCATTTCCTATGTGAACATTTAAAGTCTGACAGCAGACATCAGTGTAGAGCTGTGGGTTAATGCCCTACAACACCTCATTTACATCAGTTTTATATTAAGCTCTCCACCCACCAAAGCTCTTCTCCAGTGGCTCCCGCATGGCGCCCTCATAATTTGACTACCTGCAGGATACCCAGGCCAGCTAATCCAGTAGTTCTTTCTCATTTATGTAATTCCAAAAGCCAAAACGGACCCTTTGTCTTGAGATATAGATATATGCACACAACCATGTATCTGACTCAAGAGGGGATGAACCTCTTTCTATGGAGGTTAAAGAGTATTGCTGATTCCAGTTTGCATTTTTGGTGTTTCCTTCTAGCTCTAAAGGCTAACCTAAAAATGTCTCCTGTTGCTGGTTTTAGTGGTGCACGCCTGTAATCCCAGTACCTGGGAGGCTGAGGTAGGAGGATCAACATGAGTTTGAGGCCAGTTTAGGCTACAGTAGTGAGTTTAAGACCAGCCTTCACTACAGAGGGAGACCCTGTCAAAAACAAAAAAAGTCTTCTGCTTCGATAAGAAAGTCTTCATGTTTCCCTTAATACAAACCACCACCCCAATTTCTTCTTTCTCCTATGTCAAGCACAGAACATTGAAATTACTTCCTGGCCCTTCCTTTTAATGGCTTCTCCATTCTGCCTGCCTTTGATTAATTTCTACTCCTACATCTATTCCTGTTTCCCTCTAATATTTTAGCCTAATACCAAGATCTGAGTCATCAATCACTTAGCATTTGGGCATCAAAGGAAACACAAAAGCCTTGGTTAAAAACCAGTGGCACCTGGGAAAGGAGGGGGATCAAAACAAGGAATTAGAAATTAAACAGAGATGCCAATGTCATGTTCAATAATTACTTAGGTAGAACATGACATTTAAGCAAGGTCAGAAGCTTAAACTGGGAGAGGAAGAGCTAACAATGAAGCAAAGGACAGGAGCCCGAGCCGTGTGAGACCTCGGCAGTGGAAGCAGCCCCCCATTTGTCTAGCATTACTTATCTTGCCCAGAATAGACAAGGAGACTAATGAAATTGTGCAGTCTGGAAGTTACCCCACTGTCTGGGGCTTTATGAAGTCATCAGTCAAAAGCTTAAAAAGAAGAGAGTTGCCAGAAGTTTGGATGAGATTTCTGCATATCCTTAGCTGAGTGCAGACCACAGAAGAAACAATGAAAAAACAAACCCCGGATAAGGAAGGAGATTTTGCCCAAGTTGACTGGCGGCCCTCAGTGTACGCTGATGGCTGCTTCTTACTGACAATGCCAATCACAGAGCCCACTGGGTGACGAGCTACCGGCCATATGTCCCACTCATGCTACAAGATTACAGGAGGGTGACAGGGCCACAGGACAGCCATAACAAAACTAGGGGCCTATAGAAGATATGGATTACTTACCATTAACTATACCATCAAGAAAAGTCCGTATTCTCAGTGTTTGGTATATGAGACAATTACGTCTTATTGACTGAACTGAATGAGGAAGCCAATAAGAAATTGTGTTTATATGTAAGAAAAATAAAACACTGAACCTCACTGAGGTGCAAACAAAGGAAAATCTCTCTGGCCTAACAGGATTAGGAATCTGAGTCTAGCACCATGAGTCACATTTTCCTTTGAATTTCTTGCTCTTTATCACCATCATGGCTGTGTTCCCACTAGAGGACTGTGGTGCTGTTCCACCTTATTACTGTTACCTACGTAGGATAAAGGACTCTTTTTTATTCTCTGTTGAGCACTGATAATATTGGCTCTGAAGATACTGCTAGCGTGTCTAACTTTCACCTGGAGGGATCATTACCTCCTGTTCTGGGAGTGATTCCTACAGTTTATGATATGGTTTGGATCAAAAACAACCCCCTCCAAAGACTCATGGGTTGGAGATTTGGTCCACAATGCAGTAACAGTTGAGGTGGAACTTTGCAAAGTGATTAGATCGTGCAGGCCTCAGCTTCATCGGCGCATTAATCCATTGGTAGAGTCATAATTTGATGACTTTCCTGGCAGTGATGCACAGGAAGGCACAGACTAGTTGAAAAGGATAGGCCATGGCACAACTTTGAAGACTATAGCATGTCCTCAACTAATTCCTCTCTGGATCTGCCCTTCTCTCAACAACAGTGGAGCCCGCTGCCCATGAAATGAAACCCTGAGACCTGAAATAAACCTTCCCTCATGTAAGCCCTTTTTCCTCATGTATTTTCTCACAGCAACAAAAACATGGCTCATCCCAAAAGGTCTCTTCAGGACAACCTCTCCTCATGGAGAGGCCAAATGTTTACCAAAATTTGTATTTTCCTCTTAATCTGATCACACAACTTGACTATATTTCTTAGCGTTTCTTACAGCTAAGATTGATGATATGACTGAGTCTTGACCAATGAATATGAGAGGAGGAAACAACACCTTTAGGCTGAGTGATTGTAAACATCCCATGTACATCCCTCCATCCATTTCCCCCTTACGGTTGACTGGAATACAGGCAACCGACAGGGATACTTTGGAAGTTGTAAACTGAAATTGGTACAAACTCTGTCCGTTTTGGTCAGTATTACCTGATTGACTGGAGGAGCCCTCTCACAAACCTGTCCACCCACATCTTGAGTGAACTACAAGAAAACCACATATAGCGCTCAAAATACTATGTTTAGGGGCCTCGTTTTTATAGAAGTTTACCTACCTGATAATATAATATAAAGGATTATAAAAAGAGAATCATTTCTCAGTTTAGATGATCAATGCCAAAAGTATATAAGAAGATATCACAAACACTTGAGGAAGAACAGAAAAAAAATTCTCTAGGCTTTTTTTTTTTTCCTTCTCAGATGTTTCAGAACTTTACAAATGAAAGCTGCAAAAAAAAAAAAAAAAAAAAAAAAAAAAAAGAACTGTTCATTTGTCTTTGAGATGCCTTGTGTCAGGACTAGGAACTACTAGACCCCAAGTATAAATGCAATAGTGTATCCTAAAATCACTAGGATTTTGTTTAGTTTGAAGACAGGTGGGGGACTGAGAAGAAAAACCGCATTGTGAGAAACTCAGGAAGGACCAGAATGTGGCTTACTATATTTCTGTACGATGGAATATTTAAAATGCATTAATGGAAATTGATGGATAACAAAATCTGCCCTTTGTGAAAGAAAAAAAACAGAGGAATATGTGTGTTTGTCTCATTTGAGTAGCTCAGAAATGTAAAAGACAGTATTTGTAAAGTTCTTTGATGTGCTAGAGGGCTGAGTATGTAGATTAGTGGAAGAGAATCTGATATGCCTGAAGGTCTGGTGTCAATCACCACCACCACAAAAATAAAATTTAGAAAAGGATGAATGGATAGTTAGAAAACTAGGACTTTTAATATTAAAAAAAAATAATCTGTGAAGAAAAAACAAAATTTAGCAATGTAGACATTTTCAAGTTGGGAGCCGGTCACTCATCACATCAGAGTTATAAGGTGGTAAGCAGTTTTCTTCACCTGAAGGTCTACATTCTAGTAAAAGTACTAAACTACAAATTTTAAATTTAAAGAGTCATCATTAGGAAGCTATGAGGATTGAAGAGCTACTGAAAAAATTTTCCCTGTACTTTTTGTGTTTCTTGCCATGAAGAGGATAGTTTTGCCCTCTCGCCTTCTGTCCATTAACACAAACCTAAATGGCTGCAAGGGTCAGACAAGTAATGCTCATGAGTAAAGGAAACAGGAGAGCAAATACAGTGACAAATGACAGCTGCCACTGAAGTCACTGATAGACCAGAGACAGTGTTGGGTATTTTAACAAACCAGAGAGAAGTCTGCCACATACAGAGGTTAATGACTCTATCACTGTCCCCAGGGACACAGTCTAACAATGCCAGATGTCTCTAAAATAAACAAATTTTCACTATAATAACCAGTTTTGAAATTTATATTATAAAATAGATTTTTTTGTTGGTAACACTAATCCCTACATGTGCTGGTCAAAAGCAAATACAAACCAAAACTAGAAACTCCATTTGGCCTAGCTATTCCCCTTCTAGGTATCTTTCCAAAAGGATTAAAGACATGTTATAGTGTTGTGTACATACCTACATTGTAGCAGCACAATTCATAGTAGCTAAATATTGGAAGTGGCCTATGTCCATTAATAGATAAATAGATTTTAAAAATGTGTACACAATGGAGTACTACTCTGCCATAAAAAATAAACTTGAGTCATTTATAGGAAAATGAATGTATCTTGAGACCATAATGTTAAATAAAACAGACATACCAGCTTAAATATCACATGATTTCTCTTACACGAGAACTTAAATATAAATAAAGAGCAAAATAAATGATAGATAATAGGAAACAGGAGAGGTCTTTAGAAAGTGGGGAGGCTGGTAAGCAGTGTGAGCCATGGGCATGCCAGGGAGAGATCAAGTCAGCATCCTTGCTGGAACTTGGGAGACCAACAAAAAAGCAACGAACCAGCTTTCCTGCTAAGTGGCATGAGTCACGGGTGCACTAGGAAAAGAACAAATCCGTGTCTCTTGTGAACCTACCAGTGGGCAGGCTGAGAATCAAATGTCCCGTGGCCATCCCCAGCCTTAGCAACTGGACAGCTTCAAGGTCAGCCTGAGTTGATAGCAACTAAGGTACATAAAACAACTAAATGCTTGTATTGTTCAGCTGATTGTGCTGACCTGGGCCCAGAGGTC